CTGCATATCATATGACAGCCTTGTCAGGTATGTATGAAAAACCATCAGTGAATAATAAAATATATCTGATGAAGAAGTTATTCAATTTGAAGATAACAGAAGGTACGTCTGTTGTACAATACCTGAATGATTTCAACACTATCACAAATCAATTATCGTCTGTGGAAATTGAATTTGATGATGAGATACGTGCACTGATCTTGTTGACTTCTTTGCCACTGCTTTTCACACTCTAACTAAACCCCCCTTTTAGGGTCAATCACAGTGCGACAGAGATGGACATTTCAATTAAATTAAGTTCTCCCCAGCACTCGACCTGACCTGCATAACTAGGACCTAGTGGATGTTGAACGAGTATAACTAAATTGTCGCAAACGTATATAATACATTTCATTTCATTATTCATTCACATTCATGATCTTAATTTACTAGAACTAAATGAAAATATGACACTAAATAGGACGCAATGGAGAAAAAGGATTCATGTAGCCGACCCCACGTAGTGGGATTAAGGCTTTGTTGTTGTTGTTGTAATTATCCATTATTATGCTTTTATTTATTTTCTTCTTATCATGATGATTTTGAATTTCCCTCCAATTGTATTAGGGTTAGTATGAACTGTATGTATACTTGTTATTTGCATCTATTAGAAGAATGAAAAATTAGAGAGTTTTTATCCAAGAAAGTTCCTCCAAAAATTTTACACTATGGACAATAACTTAAAAGTTTAAAAAAAAAAGTATTTTTTCAACTATCTAATGGGGGACTAAACTCAATATGCTCATATATATTCTTTAATAATAGGCAAATTCCTATTTAAATACCCCCAAGGCAAAGAAACATTACCTAGAAACAACATATTCACCTGTACTTTATATCATGCACACCACAAAAGCGTATTTTGTTCACTAATGTCTCATTCACAGTAAGGCAATGTTCCTCAACAACTAAAGTTTATTTCTTGGCAAAAAATAAAAAGTGATAGTTTGGGTAAGCATAAATTCATTTTTAATAGGGATAAAACTTAACCCAATGGGTTATTAGGTTACCATTAAGAGAACAAGTTAGAAATGCCTCAGTATGGTTTTATTTCTTTCATGTTCCTCAGTGTAGCAATGCTTACCAATCAACTACTATGCTATAGTGCAACAATTAGCTCTAGATTCAAGGGATTGGGTAAATGATCGCTCTTCTTCCTTTTAACAACTTGCCATGATTTTTTTTTGGTTAAAAGGCTCTTGTTATGGGGTTTCACCGTCTACAGCCACCTTCTTCCACTTCTTACCCTTCTCTTTTTCTCACTTCCACTCTTTACTCTCTCTAAACTAAGAGAGACTCCTATATAGTACATGTACGCACTCTTGTCGATGCAATTGGGAAATCCTAATGTGTTTGTGTTTTTCACTAAAGCCCCATACCCGCTTTTCTTAGCATGGTTGGGATGACTAGGCCGGATCGCCAAATAAGCCTTTGTACATGCTTTTAATAGTAGGTCGGGGAAATCCTATTGTGTTTGCCAGTTTTCATACAGGTGAATTCACAAGCACGCTTTTCATAGATGGTGAGAATGATGACACCGGATCTCCAAAATAAATACTGGCTCGCATTGTTTCAATGCAGCAGGGAAAGCCTATTATGCCTGTGTTTGCCTTTTTATAGGCTTTAAGGTTCACACACGTTCTTTTTATATTAGTGGGACACACGACTTTCGACCATGCAAAAACTACCAACATACGCTTTTCTTAGTGCAATAGATAGACCCATTTTTACTAAAGTATCTCCCCACCTCAAGAGAAGATGTCAAAATTAGGACTGATATAAGACATAAATTTGATTTAAAATAATAAAATATTGCTAAATAAAATGATAAATTACAAAGTCAAGAACTTAAAATAATACTCTAAATATCTTGCAATCAAATTAAAAGACTTAAAGTGAACCAAATGGAGACTTGTAACAAACTTATTATGAAATTATCGTGCACAATGTATCAATCTAATAAATCTAAAAAATAAACCCCCCCACTCCCGACGAATAACCTAGGACCATTACAACTCCAAGCCAAGTGATTAAGAGATGAAGACAATAAATTAAATATCTCTTTAATTTATAGATAAAGAATGATACCATGCGGGCCTTGATGCAATTAATAATCATCAAATAAAAACAAATATGATGATATCTTCAGTACCTAAAAGATTCTTATTCATTCTAAATTCGCCACTGAATCCACAACACTTTTATACGAGCGGATAGAAGACAATAATAAATATCTTCAACTTGAAATCTTATACATGTTTCAACACCAAAATGATACTGAAAGCTTTCTAATTTGAGAAGATTTTAGGGAGACATTTCTCAAGGTCATTTTCAACCCTGATGCATTGCCCAAAAAAATGCACAAATACTAATATTCTAATATTTTAAAATGAGAGTAAGCGTCACTAGACAACCTTTAAAATGACCTGAAATGGGTGCAAGTGTGCCTTGTAAGTGCTCCAAATTTTGTGTAAGGCGTCACACAAATGCATTGAGTTGCTTGCATGCTATTAAAATAGTCACATATGCTCCAACCAACGCACCCGTTTGTCTTAAATAGTTAAATAATGCATGGGTTCTCTTAAAATTAGATTCAAAATTGCATTTCCTTAAAAGCTTGCACACTATCAAAATTAAATCTCATGTTTGCTCTGACCAACATGTTGAACACTTAATCATACAATAAGAGAATATTGTGCAGACATAAAATGAACATAATCTTAAAATATTATGCTTTGAAATGTATGCCAAACTTCTTAAATTTCTTTAAACCAAGCACGTTATCAAGTAGACCGCCTTGTCTATAAGGCAAGATAGTAAGTTCCACTTTAACAAATTCAATGATTTTCTTGATAAAAACTAGATTTTACGAGATTAGCCCCTACCGAGCCAGTCTGATTCTCCTCTTGATAAGGACTAAAGTTAACAAAACTTAGCCATTCACCCACTCATTCAGATCCTCCTCCATATAGAGAATGAATTTGACAAGATGGCCAATAATTGAATGTTGATTTTATATAAGAGAAAAAATATCTTATCTCTTTATATGAAACTAAAGGACTCTTCGATAAGAATTTTTATCTTAAAAAAATATTCTTAATATAATTACATTCTCGAATATACAATAATATGCTTAATTCACAAACCCAATCATTTACATATGAAGCGGAGTCGATAGGATTTGCAATGTAATAAATGCTTGAATGAACTTAACACTACGGACCCGATATTTCGCAAGCAAGATGCAAAGTAGACGGTTCAAATCAAGTAATTAAACACTTCACTGATGATGGTTGCATTGAAAGTGAATTTGAATCATAATGGTCCATCTTCAAAATAATGCTTTAAGGAATACTTGAGTAAATTCAATTAATATAAATTATAAACACATCTTCTATAAGCAAGACAGTCGACAAACTATAAAGTTATTTAAATACCCTGATGATAGCCATGTTGATAGTGAATCTCAAAGGATGGACTCTTATTTTCAAAATATTTAAAAATTTTAACAAAATAATTTCAATTTTAAAATATAAATATTCAAATGAATTTTAATCACAAAAAAATTGAACAAAAAATTCATCCATCATTCACTTCAATTCGTTGGGGGTGACAAATTTAAGATTAACTGAAATTGAAATAAAAGTAATATCATATTAAGCATACTATTGTATTCACACTCAAAATAATCTATTCCAGTAAATACTTGGCCGCAGTCCTCTGTCCTTGTGATTTGTTCAAACGGCTTCATAAATTGACAATCACGATCAGAGTTCTTTGATCGCGTGGATTAACAATATAGGCTCTACTATATTGTGGTCATGGTTTCTCAATGATTTCCTGCTCTTCTGAGTTGTGAATCATATGATATACTTGATAGAATACAAAGCCTTTTGTTAGCTAATATTGACTTGGATTAGCTCCATTAGACAGACAACCATCCCATATCTCTATAGTTTACTTGGACAAAGTAACACATAGTTGTCGATAAGAATCATTCGATTAGGTTGGGTCAATTACCTTCTCTTACTAAATAAATCTTGGTCCATGACAACTTAATGATGAAACTATAAGATCTTGATCGAGTTCGTCATCGTTACCTCCACCATCCACTCTTATGCTCGCAGTGATAAATTTCTATAACCTAAAACTTAAATGTTGCTACTACACACTGAGTAATCAACATCTTAATAATTAGGCTTAATCGAAAGTGCTCTTATATTACTGTGATGAGAGACTTGTGCTTATGAGAAATCTCAAATCCGAACAAGTCCTCATAAAATAAGGGTAAAATATCTAGATAGTGTCTTATCTATAATCCTAACCAACTTTATCAAAATTTGACCCAAGCCTAATGTAAAACTCTCTTATCGTGAATTGTAAAAGGCTGAGAAATGAGTTTGTGAAGCCCACACGGACAAGAAATAAAGTAGTAATATCTTCTATACAATAATCTACAAAATAAAAGCTGGAATTCAAAAGAACTCACAAAAACTAACAAATGAAGAACCTTAAAGAGTATTTTATGCTCAAAATAAAAAAAAAAGTAAAAACAAGACAAATTTTGATGCTAAACAAGAAAAAAATATCAAATAAAGTAAATTACCTTTGCCATAATCGGAGCAATTTCTTTTTCCATAACATTTCGGACATTTTTTCGCAATGAACTCTCCTCGGAATTTAGCAAATCATCAAATTGGTAATAATCAGAAGCTACAACGAAGAGAAATGAAACAACCATTACATTAAAATTAAACACACATCTGTTATCCTAATAATTTTTAGCTTCATTTAATCAACAGCACTAATAAAATAGGGCAATCAACCAAAGCATGGTTAAATCTATAATACATTCTGATCATAGAAATTTTGAATGATCGCAGGCTTTACTCATGGCAGGAAATATTGTCGCTGGGGTTGCCTGAGGAAAAGCAGCAGAGATCTCCAATGCAGGCAATCCAATATGAGATCTCATGTCTTCTTCGCTTTTGTTACCTAAAATGTCAGTATTTCAATAACAACCTTCACTTCAAAATTCCAAACAGTAAACAATATAACAGTCAGAAAAATATGCCTTCATGCATATCCATTAATGAAGCTACAAGCTTGAAAATTGAATGAAAGGGAAAACAAAACTTCAGATCTATAAGAATTTCAGTCCATCAATCAGGCAAGAACAATTAGTAAAGGCATGTAAAGAGAAATTCTTAATTTGCTTAGTAAAGCCTGTGATTTCACAATCTTGAAAATTGAATGAAAGGGAGAACCAAACTTCATGGAATTTTGTTCTTCTGCAATTATCTAACAAACCCTAACAAAAATCAGGAAAAAAACATTATCTAGACAACGCTTGAGACTCATATGTCCCTCCTTACAAGAAACAACAACCAAATTTCTCATCAAATTTTTCCAAAAATCAAACTAATTTCAATTAAATTGCACTATTATCTTCACTTTTGTTTCCTTGTCATTTCCTTTTTTTTTTTTTTTTTCAATTCCCTCAAACCTAGCAGATCCTTAAGAAATGCATCTAAAAGCCATAAATAAGCCTAACAATTGCTTGCAGGTGCCTTCAAAATTATGATCCTGCTTATCACTGTGAGAAAAGATATAAAACGAGCAATGCTTCAGATTAACGGTTTTTTCAATCCCATACAACGGTGAACCAGAAAACCGAACAGAAATACATGGATTTCTCCATTAAAATAAAGCTTTACCACAATAAGATGCCTTTGCCATAATCTCCAAAGATTGATGCTTTCTTATGATTATAAACGCAAGAAACGATTTTGAAGGAGCCAAAAACTTCACTTTGACGCTAAATCTCTGGGTATACGTTTTTTTGGGGGAGATGGAATAAGAAATTTACCAGAACCTTGCTTCTGAGATGCCACGGCGGCCATGGATGTAGTCTGCCAAGGCTTTCGAAGAATCGGAGAACCTGGCTGAAATGATCACAAAGGATTTACTTTGGCTTCCCAGATTTTTATGCTGTGTCATTTACGAAAGAATTTTTAGATTATCTTCTTCATTGATCCATTAACAAGTCATGGAATTTTTATTCGGTACGTGCACCGCAGGAACCCTTACATGCGGTACCGAATAAAAATTCGCCACGTGGAATGCGATTCCACGTGGCTTTACAGCTTAAAAATAAGCTTTTTCGTGTTAACCGACC